TATTAAAGGAAACACAAAATATAATTTATAACATAAAAAGAAACATTTAGTTTATTATTTATTAAAAAATGTCAATGACATTTTAACTTGAATAGAATAGATAGAGATATTAGCTACTTTCAACTAGGTTATGTATAACGTTTCTAGTCGTACTCTTCACGTATTTTTTAATGTCGTTTTTAGTCTATTTATATAAGGTTTAGGTTTAATTTTTTTAGGTACAGCGTTATATAATTTAGGTCCAAGAAACTTTTTTGTCCAATAGATTTTTTTGTTATTATGTTTAAGTATTTTTGTTTCTTGTCATATGTTCGTGAGTTCGAATTTGCAAATTTAATCTGAGTGTATATTGTTTTATTATAATATTTATAAAGTATAATTGTCGAACATCGAATATCTTTGTTTCGGCACTAGAATATCTTTGTTAAGAAGAATTTTTAAAAATCTTTTTTTGCGAAATCTCGGGAATGTTGTTAGTAGTAGGTGTGAGCAACTCCTCCCCAACTAACTCATCCGTATATCAGGTGAGTTTCTACTAAACTTCGGTAAACCATTAGTTTTTGTTTATATTGCATATGGTATGAAATTTGTTTAAATTTGTATAGTATACACCTTAGTTTTTGAGTCAAATAATTTGCATGACTATCCCACCTAAGAAGTGGGTCTATCATAACACCTAAATATTTGTATCTTGGTATTTTTTTTGTACATTTATTGTGTAGGTTGGAAGGTCTGACTTTAGGGATGTAAAAGGTAACTAGACAGTTTTTTTGTAGTTAATGGATAAAAGTCTGTAGTCAAACTAGTGTTTTATACATTTAAAATCATTTTCATTTTTTATCTTTAAATCGTACCAGTTTTTATTCTTGTATATTAAAATTGTATCGTCTGCAAAACTAGTGTATGCCAGGTTCTCCACAATCCTAACCAAATCTAGTCCAGGTGCATAGTTCTTAAGTCGTTACCTTCTGAATTTCAATTTTGTCATGCTAGTATTAAGCCATTAAAAGAAATGTGTTTGGTGTTGCATACGTCAGTGTCTTAAAAAATACAAAACCATTATGATTAAGAAAAAATTGAGTAATTTAATGCTATTATAAAGTACTCATTAACTTGTAAATGAAACTTCAAGCCTACAGCGAAGTCATCATAACAACCGATCGCTTTGATGATAATAACAACGTGTTTGGCGGCTAAACATAAAATGTAGAATTAGAAAAATGGCGATTTTCATGCATGGCGAACTAGCGTACCTAGTATATCTATAGTCGAGTATAAACTGCACAAGCCAGCAGTATAGCATTATCCGTCCTTTGCTCGATCATTTAACCAATTTTCCTTGTCAAAAGTGATGGACATGTGCGAGTACAGGATCTCCTTGTATAATTATTCGATTGGCGACTATGTCTCGTGTTTATTCTGCAAATAAACTGCGCATTACCGCCCGATAATCGCTTAATAAGCGTCCGGCGTATTATAATTTGTTTATCTGCGGAACAGAAAAAATCTACGGATTACATGCAATTTTGGAAAATTATATGCATAAATGCAGATCGGATGCACGTAAATGCTGCGAAATTATGAAAATTTTTGTTCGATGAGATTCCAACAACGGAAGAGCTACTGACATGGTTTTTCAAGGAGATTTGAGTAAATTCAGAGCTGGATATCGATCAAGTAAAATGATTCCGATTGTACCGAATGAAAAGGTAGGAAGAAATTAGGTAAAATTGCCCTAATGGTCAGATTTAAATTAAAATAACATTAGGGTAGGTACTAAATTTGTTACAAATATTGCAGTTGAAATGATTCTTTGCAAGTGTTGACATTGTATGTATATTGTAAATTTAGTGGAAATTTTAAAAATGCCTAGACGTATGTTAGATGTAGATAGTCTAATTTGTAGTGTACATAAGTATTTTACGGATGAAAAAGAAAACGACGGTCCTTTAAAATTGGTAATTTTTGTACAACAACGCATATGCGATGCTCTAGGAATTAGTGAAACCAAATTAAGAGGAGTATTACAAAATCACAATAGTGAACTGCCGAGAGAAGATCACCGCAAAACTCGCCCATAATTGTAAACGAAAGATGTTCCAAATGGAAAGAAATTTGAAATTCGTGATACCATTTATCGAATGAGAGCCAACAAGGAACATGTGACCTTAAATACAATTCTCTCGGAATTAATAGATAGAAAATTTGACGACATTGGCAGAACAAGTCTATGGCAAGTGATACATAACTTGGGTTTCAAATTTCAAAAGGAGGATAACAGAAAGGCCCTTTGTGAAAGAAGTTCTGTCGTGCATAAGAGAATTAACTTTTTAAGAAAATGTTCTAAATTTAAAGAAGAGGGGGCGAATTTTACATATTTAGACGAAATATGGATATTTTCTAGGGGTGCAACCAAGAGAATATGGCAAGATGATAACGTAAAGTCCATCGAACATAACGATAGAGAAGGGAAGTGACACATAATTTTACATGCAGGAGGGAAATCGGGTTTTATAGATGGTGCTGGTTTAATATTTTCATCTAAATCAAAATCCAGTGACTATCACGATAATATGAACACAGAAATGTTTGTAAAATGGTTGCATGAAAAACTTCTCCCAATGCACCTTACCATTCTGAAGTCCAACGAATTCTTGGACTGTTGATAAAATTAAAGAATGGTTGACAAAGGAACATATACCATTTTCTCAATATAAATTAAAATCAGAATTATTACGCTTAGCAAATATACACGCAAAACCAAAAACCTTTGTTGTGGATCAGATTATTGAAAGTTACGGTCATCAAGTTTTACGTCTGCCACCGTATCATTGCCAGTTTAATCCAATCGAATATATATATGGGGAATAGCAAAACAATATTATGACAACCATATTGGGCCTAATGGTTATAGTGACGACGCAGTTCGGGAAACTTGGCGAAAAGCACTTTCAATTGCAACTCCAGAAGTGTGGCGGAACTGTATATCTAAGTGCGAGAAACTAATAGAAGATTGATGGACTCGTGAAAATAAAATAAACGAAATAAGTCCAATCATAATAACAATTAATGGTTATGACAGTGATGATATGATATTTAGGATGATACTGACTGATTTTCATGTTTATGGCAAGTTCAATTTTTTTATTTTTCATTTGAAATTCTCTACAGGAACAAATTTTTATGTTAGAAAATATTTTATTTGAGCTAAATAACCCTCTTATTATACATAGACCATATTTTATGTGAGAAGTGTAATATAAAATTATTATTAGGTTTATAATAGCCGCATTAGACTCCATTAATGAGGAAGGTAAAGTCTGCTCTCAATTATACAAAAGATTCTCCATTATTATTTAATTAAAAAGTTGTACATTATTTTTCATTTCATTTAACCAGTTGATATTTCCTCAAAGAACAGGTCAAACTTTCGGGTACTTACCTGTAAATACTCATAAAATGTTTAATCCGGAACCTGTGTAAGTATAGCGAACAGACTGTATATTGATTTGTTACAGTGAATTTGGGTCACTGAAATTGGCACAACATTGCAAAAATTTGAAATAGGATTGCCGTACATTTATCCAATATTCCTTATATGAAATAACTTTTTTGTCCACCCTCTATTTTTAAAAAATTATCAGAAGGATTTTCGCAAAGTACATTTCATAGAATAACAGCATTTCGTTTATGTTTCCACATTCTTTATCAGCGTTTATTTGTTAAAAAAAAAATGGACAAACATCGACAGTGGCGGGGCAAGACCTAAATTTTATGTGGGCAAGATACATTTTTGCGAGGCCCTCTGGTGGCGCAAGAATACGGATGGGCTCATTTAAACCTGAGAGAAGTTTTTCATGCAACCATTTTACAAACATTTCTGTGTTCATATTATCGTGATAGTCACTGGATTTTGATTTAGATGAAAATATTAAACCAGCACCTTCTATAAAACCCGATTTCCCTCCTGCATGGGGGTTAAATTTGTACTATGACTTGGGATTTTCGAGCAGCTCACAGCTTTTAGCTAGTATTATTAATATTAATACTTATACTAAATTTATTTAATACGAATCCGATTTTGATCATCTAAAATATTCTTTAAGTACCTTTATATATTATACTAAGTAAGTTTACGATATTGTTAACATATTCCATACGCTCTCGAAAGTATAATATTTATTGTTAGGCGCACCATAAGGATAATTGCAAGTGGGCAATAATATAGCTGCTTAACGAACGCCAGCATAACTTTTAATAATGAACCAAAACTGCACAAAATGTCATCGTTAAATTCTTGTTAATTATCCATACGCCGTCAGTTGCGCTTTAAATTTAATTTATGGTTTATTTTATTGATGAATATGTAGGCTCAGATATTAGTACCTACTGCATTTCATATTAATTGTTTATAATTCTAAAGTATTTTTTCGAAATCTGTGAATTAATATTTTATAAAAATCATAAGAAAAAACAATCGATAAACGAACCTTAAATTCGACGGTATAAAAAATGAAAACGTAGTTTTTGCGATAAACTAACGTTTCATCTAGATAGGCTTAATTTAAAACCTAATATGTCATAATAAACATAAAATATGTAAGATAATAATATATAGTTAATAGAATGATACCTATTTATTTAGAGAATACTTTACTAGTTGGAATTGTCGGTGGATACATATTTTTAACAATTTTATTAATTAACTTTTCACCCTTATTTGATTGCTTTTTCCTATTTGAATAATAACTTTATTATTTAATCATGGCCGTAAATTCAAAATAATGAATAATGCCCGAGGTATCTTTATTATTATTATTATTATTATTATTATGGCTAATTGACCCTCATTTTGTTGCAATTTATTGTAATTTCTATTGACTAAACGACGACTAGATTGTTTTTCCGGGCTAATATACATTACTAAATTTTTATATTAATAAAATATAACATACATCATAAAACTCATTTGAATGCATCATTGTTTGAAGAACACTTACCTAATAATTTGGTGACGGCACCCTGTTGCGTGAGCATATGTTGAGCAAGATCGTAATGCCTGAGTCCGAACCTGGACAGTTCCAAAAAGCGCTGTTGGGATACCAGCGAAGCTAGCGGGTGCCCGGGAGATGTAGCTGGGCTACCGTACAACTCCCGGAGTGCCGCAGGGCCGAGCGACGAGGGCATTGATGCCGAAGATACGGCAGATACTACATTAGGAATTGCTGCCGACGAGGAAGAAACTGCAAATTAAAAGATAAATTATGATAACAAAAATGTTAATAAATGAAATTAGTGTGTATAAATCGTTAAGGAAAATAAAATATGGAGGATGGCTGATTTGAGCTGATTGTATTATTTTCATTATTAAACCTAAGAAAAATTAAATACTTAGCGCCTTAACTTTATACTCTTTTACATTTACAATAATAAATGGATTTTAATGTTAAACAAACAACTTTTTGTGATCTAGTAAACAATAAATTAAATCCTAGAAATGTAAGTATTCTATGTGTTACTGAACAGTGGCTTGATTACGGGAATACGAGGGGAACCTTATGAATAGATACAGTCTGACTTAATAAATCGAACTCAAGTAATTGTAATAACAAATAGTCTAAAATCTGATCCTCTTCCATGTACAATAGGAGTTCCCCAAGGTTCAATTTTGGGCCCACTTCTTTTTATAGTTTTTATAAGTGATATAAGTAATTTTTGTTTAAGCACTCAACAAATAGTTCAATATGCCGATGATACCAATATTGTAATGGCAGATGATCAAATTGAACAGGTTACTCAAAGTAGCAACGAGGCATCTCGTGAGTTTAACCAGTATTGTAAAGATAACGATCTGGCATTAAATGTAACAAAAAAAACTTCATGCAATTTCTACCCAAAAACATATTACCAGATTACGAACCCTACTTGCACGTTGACGGAAAAACTATTCAAAGCGTTGATGACATAAAATATTTTTAGGAATAATATTAGATCCCAAATTAAATTGAGAAGCTCATATAAAAATGGTAACTTCAAAATTAATTACTCCTTGTTATATCATCAAAAATTTAAGGGAGACACTATCTTTTGATACTTTAAAACTATGCTATTTTGGTTTGGTTCATTCAACTCTAAAATATGGCTTAATATTTTGGGGTTCTTCACCATACTTTGAAAGAGCTTTTGTATCACAAAAGAAAGTTCTGAGAGCCATGTATAAGGTGACACCAACAACATCATGTAAAGAACTTTTCAAGAAAATGCAAATTTTAACACTACCTTCCCTTTTTATTTTTCAACTAATTTAATACATGAAAGATAATGAGTATATATTTAAGAAAAATAAAGACCTGCACTTATATGATACTAGATTAAAATTTAACATCCATCAACCTTTTTCACGACTACAAATAAGCCAGTATTCACCAAAATATATTGGGATTAAGTGTTACAATAAGTTCAGTTACATATTAGAAGATACTACAGGATATCATCAAATTAGTCGTAATGATTTAAGAAAACATCTTAATGATTTTCTTTTAAATAATGTATTTTATAGTATAGAAGATTTTTTGAACTTTTAAACTAATCTTAACATGAATTGTCTATTATATATATATATATATATATATATATATATATATATATATATATATATATTTTATTTTTTAATGTATTTTACTTTTGACTAGTCTGATAGGATGTACCTAGTGTCTTTGTATAGTGTATAATTCTCAAAGATGATTAAATTCTATTTCTATTTCAATAAATATTTAATTATTTATTTACTGATTTGATTCTCCTTATACCAAAGCAAATCCTGTTTGTGTATGTAAATATTTACAGTTTATCAAATTTCAGGATTAGATAAATGTATTTAGGTATTTGTTCAATGCATTCCGACGCATACATATAAGATCGATTTATAAGTAGTCATAATAACAGCAGTTTGCCTAGAACTTGTTGCAATTGAAAGAGAAGATAAAAAAATCAGTCCGCATGTCCATATATAGTCTTCGCCATCGACTTCACCGAATCCGTTGAATTTTTTCCAAACTTCTCAGAGAAATCTCCGTGTAGAACTCATCGGCCGATATTAATGAAAGCCTTCGACATAAATCAATTAAAAATGATAATGAATTTGGATTTTTTGCCATCATTTGAGATACTCGCGCAATGCTTGTTCATAATTAATATTTATATAGCGTCGAAATGGATTGCTGCACATCGAATTTAATCGAAGAACTTGTAAATCTTGATAATTGATATCAATTAGGTATATGGCGAGCCCATAAAAAGTGACACAATTAAAATGTCCCAACGATACAAAAAAGCTCATGACAAATTGCTGAGCCATATATGAAATGAATGCTTTTCAATGCACACAACTTTATATTCCATTTTAATATTTTATGATTTTAGATCGTTTAATTTAGTGAAGGTTTAATCAGATGAAAGAAAATTTTTAAAAGGATAATTTATAAATAAAATACTTAGTGGTAGAATTTAAAGTGAGGGACATTTTTTAACAACTTTTTTATTTTTTATTAAACACAGAGTTCGTTACGATATAGAATTATGTTGTATGTTGTCAAACTCGGCCTAACGGCATCGTTGGACAATTCCACGTCGCGTGCAATAAACACTTACTTTTTGCACTTGTTGCATAAATAACTATTTCTTTCCTTAAGTTCAGACATAACCTCTTTTAACTGATCTTGCTGGATTTTAGTTTTATCGTAACTAATTTTAATTCCATCAGTATTCTGTATGCTTTGACACCTTGGATCCTGTGTGTATCACATGTGGTACATAATTTGACTGTCTTCATAAGATCAAGAAAATTTTTAATTTGAATAATTTATTCTTCTATTTAAAATATTTATATAATAACAACACAGAATATAAACAGTATAATAAAAGACAGTCCTTAGTTTTCTGTTATGTACCAAGTAGTTTTGACTTAAATTTTAACTTAGTATATAGAAATCTCCCGAATGTTTGTACTTTGTTTATTTTTTGTTTGTTAAAATAAATGTATAAATAGAATAGTAGCTATACTTAATTCATATTAAACTAAACCATGTCTGTACATATTATATTATTGGTGATGTCGATTTTATTGAGTCTCTTCCAATGCCGATTCTTTAGTCTAAATTCCATACAATTATATAACCGATTGCAATTAATAATGCTCAATATTTCCAGTAATACACAGGGTTCAGATGGGATCCCAACCTAATTTATCACTGGAGACCCATATAGTACCACAGACCAGAAACCCGAAATTTGCATGGCTTAATGGCCTACGTGTTAAGAGACTTTCCTTTATAGAGAAATAGTATACGGTAAATCTTTTTAAATGCTCTAATTGCAACATTTGATCTTCTAAACTAAACGTCCACGTTTATGATACGTTTCATATTATACAGAGTGTTGAAATTGTAAATTGGAAAATTTTTATAAATGTATCACCATCTAAGTCGTTCATTTGAATTTATCTTTAAATTTATAGGGTTTTTATAATGTTTTAACTGTTGAGCACTAACTACCTGAGAATATAAAAGGTTTACTCAAACTGCACACTCAAAAATTTGCTTACTACTCGAACTGGGCACCAACAATTAACGCTTGTTTGACCGGCGCCTCGCCGGGCGATCCTAAATCGCAAATCATACCGAATTAGGCTTACCTAGTGACACTGATGTTACTGATGTTGGCCCTTTAAAATGGAAACAAATTTATCTATCCAATACCAAAAATTCTGATTCATTTTAAAACTATTTTATTATTACAAGTTCAGTTTCCTTCAAAAGAAACATACTTTGACTATACAATTTCTCACGGTACATCGCCAAAACATCTCTCATTTTTTTAAAATTTTGCAGAAACTAAATGTTGCTTCGTCTAACCAAGAATATATAAGAACTAATTTTTGATTTTGAGGTTTTATTACTTATTATACAAATTTGTTTGTGTTTAAAGCATTAGAAAATTATTCGCAAGGGATAATCCCAAGAAGATTATTACCTACGCTAATTTGATTTTTGAACATATTAGAAAATTATTTATGTAGGTGAAGGGACTTGAAAGGGATAATCCCATGGGCAATGTGCAATTCGTGAAAAATTTCGAAGGTACTTGAAGCAACCGTTACAATATAATTTTTAGAGTGCCCAGTTCATGCACGCCCTATTTTTTTTTCACAATAAATTTACGACAAAAAACGACAAATTCTACAATATTCAAAAATCAAAAATTTTAAAGTGGTAGTGCTAACTTCACGAGCATCTATTATTTGCAATAATTGTAAAATGTTAGAAATATTACTTGAACAACATGGATTCGTGAAATGTCATTCTTATTCAGTCATTATTCAGCATATATGAGATTCGCATTTATATAGATATGTCCAAAGCATTTCACAGACTTGACCATGGAATTTTAGTAAAAAAACTCTTTGCTTCTGGTCTCTGGGATAGTCTTATTGACTTACTTAAATCATATTTGTGTAACCGTTAAAATGGATTGAAGCCTGTTAAGTACCTTACCACATCAGGTGTCCCTCGAAGATCAAATCTTGGCCCATTCTTGTTTAATATATTCATTAATGACACATTGGTAATTTATATTAATTATCTACTGTATGGTGATGTCTTAAAAATGTATGCTTTTATAAATAGTATAACTAAGTATGAGTTACTTTCATCAGTATTCATCAAAAAAGAAGGAACAAGAAATATCCTCGATTTCTTCTACTATGATTGAAATATTTAATATGACATTAAAGTGTGTATTATATTTAAATACAACTTTATTTGAATAATAATTGATTTCGATTTTCAATAAATCTCAGGTAAGTACTTACTTGTTTGTAGGCAAAAGAAAGTGTGGGTAATAGTAATTGCCGTATTTAAAAAGCCGTATTTTATGTAAATTTTAAACAGGTTGTGTTTTCGTTTTCTGATAAAATTGTATTAATATTCATCACGCGGCTTTTTTGAATAAAATTGTAAATAATATCGCCTCATGGCGCTTTTGTATATTATGTGATTACCCATTCATCTACACCTGAAAGTGTGTAACTGATCTACTGGAATTTATTGTTTATTATAAAATGTAGATTACCATTTCTTAAAGAAAAGAAATCGTGAGATTCTTGGAGGAAAATAGTACCTACAACAGAAACTTTTATATTAAAATGTAGATTACCTATTCTTAATGATTTTGACAGCCACAAGCAAACAGAAACCATCAGATGGTGCCAAACTTTTTAATATAAAATGTAGGTTACCATATTATCTAAAAAATCCTACCAATATTTTTGGCCATCAGTCTGTGGTTTTACATTTTTGTATATTAAAATTTTAATATGCACATTCATGACATGTTTCAAGCTGCCTAAAAAACGGATATTCGATACACAGGACCTTCAGAATATTGGGTTACGAAATATTGATTAAATAAATACATTGGGCGTTGAGAATTTCGGTATAGGGAATAAGTAATAGAATTTAAATGCTCTACTACCTGTTCCAAGTGTATTGACTTCTGAATTTGGTGCTTAGCTAAAATTATCATTATTTTTTTATCAAACGCCAATGTAAATTCATTGAACTCCTAAAATTAAACAATTTATAGTCAACTACTAAAATATTAAGTTTTATCGATTATCGACCAATAAATTATGTATTAATTACTACCAGTTAATAAGATAATGACGATAACAATTTTTACTTCATTGAATAAATTTACATATTACATCATAAGAATGTATTTATTTGGATCGTTAAAAATGCATTGAAGCTTTAAAACATTTCTTTTATAGGTTTAAATGTGTCAATAATTTTTTCGAATACGATAATATAGATAATCATAATAAAACACAATTTGTTTTATACGTTTGGTTGATGCTGTTACTTCATGCTACTCTCATAAACAGAACTCTTCGATATAAGCAATGTTTATAATTGCCTAAGAATGGAAAATCCTTCGTTTTCAGTTGACAATACTGTTGAAAAGACAAGTAATATGATGGGTGTAAGCAAATCAGCGATATATAAAGTTATAAGTGAATTAAAAAGTGGAGTTGTTAAACCCCCAAAGAAAAATATAGAAGGTAAGAAAAAAGTGGAATTTACTGAACAAATTAAAAGCTGAATAAGAATAAAAGTTCCCAAATTTTATTTTAAAAAAGAGATACCAACACTTGCCAAGGTTTTAGACGCAATCAATAGTGGTCCATATTTTCCTACTTATTGATTCTGATGAAGTTGTTTGTTGGAGATGGAGATACCTCAGAAACATTTTTAAATTACGTGCAGAAGACAAAAACATATTTTATTTGGGCGAAACCTTGGTGAATGATGGTTACACAGTTAGGAAAATGTGGCAGGATACAAACATTCAATCTTCTCGACAGGATTATTTACAGGATTGAAGGATCATTCCGGTAAAAAACGACGTCTAAGTATAACTCATATTGGAAGTGATGACGGGTTTTCAAAATGTGGTTCTTTAATATTTCAATCTAAAAAACCTGCGACTAGCATCAAGATATGAATACTGATGTTTTTGAAGTATATTTTTAGTAGATGATAGAATATTTACCAAAGGGTTCAGTTATAGTAATGGATAACGCTAGTTAAAAAAAATAAAACAAACAAATACCTCTAATTTACCGAACCATGCGCTTAACAGAGTCTTAAAAGGGATTAAAATAAGGGTAGCCCCTTGTTACGTTCCACAAAAACCAAGCGGCACAGGTAAAATTCTTAAAATCAACACACCTTATAACTGCCGGCTATTTAAAATCATAGATTTTGTTTGAACTACCTGTGGTGTAAAACTACCATAAAATTTTGATTTATTACTCGATTGGGATTGTATTATAGTTTGATTATATTATTAATTTCAAGTAGGATGGAGTTATAAAATTTAAAGCCAAAAAATAAAAATATCCTTTATGAATTTTTGGAAATATGGATCAAAAACGTGCACATTTTTCATTATTTACACTCTTCATTTTTAAATGTTCAATTTTAATGAAACCGCAGGTATCAGGATGTTTAGTATATTCCTGGTATATACTAAACACTAACTAATAAGCATATACTTTGAACATACTAAATTGAACTTACCGTGTCAAAAGCCTTACTTAAATCTATAAATAGGCATAAGCAAGGTTTCCCATTTTCCAGCGATTTGTATATATTTTTTGTTAAATTTAAAAGAGCGTCCACCGTTGAGGTCTTTTCTTTGAATGCATATTGTTTATTTGACAAAAGATTGTATGTATTTATGAATGATGATGATTTTTAGGTTTTTCAAAAACTTTAGCCAGATGACTAATCAATGATATTGGTCTATAATTACCAACAAATGTTTTATCTCCATTTTTATAAACAGGTACTACAATAGAGCTTTTGAATGCCATATTCCCTTTTCAATACTTTTATTTATTATGTAAGCTAATGGATTTGAGATATAATAGGATACTTTTTTTAAAAGCTCTGATTTAATTTTGTCAATTCTGCAAGTGTTTTCCCGAAGTTGACAAATTGTTTATTAAATTCGTTAGCTATCTATCTGCATGTTAGTAGTTAATAAAACTCCAGTATCGTTAATAATTTTTTTAATATTACATTTTTTAGTTTTCCTTTCGCAAAGTCCTTGTACCGTGTTCCACAAATATTTTGAATTATTTTTATTTTTTTCAAGTTATTTTTTATAATAATTTTGTTTATTTCTCTTTAATTCATTTGTAAGTTTATTTTTGAATGAAGTATATTCGTCTTTTAATAAAATATTTTCATGATGTAGAATCGGTTTTTTATACATTTTATTATTTTTATTAATTAACTTTAATAGGTTATTTGTGAGCCATGGTGCAAAGCTAGTGTTTTTTCGTGTACATCTCTGACAATAAAGTATATTATGGGTATTAGATATAATAAAAAAAGGATCCAAACCTGTAGGCGACAACTGGATAGCGTTAGGCAGTACACTAGCGACAGTATTAGGCACGGCCGACAATCCGACGGCATCCATCTTCCAATTAACAATCGCCGATCGCGCCGCAGGAGTGACAGGAACAGGACAACACCCCGACAGTGCGGCCACGCTGGAAAAATCGTTTCCGGCTGCACTCAAACCGTTTCCGTTCGTAGATATCAACATTTCGAACCCGTTAAACTCTCCTCATCAGTTCCTATACGCGAATATACAGTGAAAGACAGTCGAACATACGTCTTTTGGGATCGAACGCGAACAAACAGGATTCAAGCTTACGCCAAGCGAGCACTTGTGAGAATGAGGTACGGTAACGTTAATGTTATAACCACCGCTACCTCTCGCTGTTCGTTGGTTATCCGTGCCCATGTGATAGGCAGGCTTTGCCTACCGGTGCTCTGCCCACTGAGCTTGAGACAGAGATGGATGGTTGTGAGCGGCCGCGTTGTTAGATAGAGAGCGCCGCGGTTAAATAGATCATTTGATAACCGGTATGGATTTATTTACGTATTACCCGGAGTAGATACGATTTCGCAGAGGTGTTGTCCTTATAAAGGACAATTGATATTCTTTGTTTTTGCTGTGCGCTGTGCGTAAAAATGGGTTACTGCATTGAAATCTGATTTATTTAAAAAGAAAATAATTCTCATAGGTAGGTACTCAAATGTGACAATGAAGATTAAACATACTATATCAAAGCCCTGCATCATAAAATATTAAAAATGACCGTTTCCGTCCGGAACCAAACAATTCATTTGGCTAATACCGCAATAGGCATTGGATTGTTAAAAATAGGAACATTCAAATGCAATACTAGAAAATTATTCTTCTGGACAGTGGCAGCTCGTACGTAAGGTCGATTCTCCTATTCTTTAAAGTTGCATAATTATCTATTATATCATCAAAAAATTGAAATTTTTGCTAAATTTGAACTAAATTATTTAGTGCTTCTGTAGGAAAGCTCTCCGAATATTTGAAAGTGTCCAATAATGTTACGATATCCTGAAAGCGATTGTTGATTTGTTCTAAAATTTTATCTATAATAAAGAATTTTATATTTTTGAACTACTTGATCTCTTGTCAAGACTTGTCTTGTGCGCCCATCACGATGCTCAGTGGGCAGTTCTGTTCTTAGGGAAACTGAATCAATTATATTTGCAAAAATAACTTCACTTCTTTTAGCGTTTTGTTGATTCTGCGCATTTTTAATTTGAGATACACAGTAATGTATATCTAAAGAACGTTTCTGCAATACATCAAAAAGTACATCGCTGATGGAAAAAATTTCGTTAAAATGATAACTAGAAGAACAAATTCAAAGTCATTAAATATATTTAAGTAAGTCTTATTAAAGCCTGATCAGAAAATAAAATATAAAAAAAATCCTAACTGAAAAACTTTTGATAACCATCAATCTCTAAAAGGAGAAGAAGCCCTTTCATTATAAAAAAAAATCTGATTAAATATGGGAGATTTAAGGGGGGTTGAAATTAGAAAAAAAATCAAAAATGAAAAGCGATATCAACATGAAATTTTTAGTAAAAATCAAGGTCTATAAGGAGATGAGTCCTATTGATTGTGAAAAAAATCTGCTTAAAAATGGGGTTTAAGGGGGTCTGTTAAACTGCGAAGAGTATCATTTAAAATGCCAGTCATTACATAATTTTATTCTATTTTGTGTCTGAGCAATATTATGTATTGCGATGGGACTGATCTTATAAAATAAATATTCAAAACAATGTAGTTCTTATTTTATTTGCTAATAAAAGGTATTTAAAAAATATATTTTTATTTTACATCTGTGACAAATTGTGAAAATGATTAAACTTACAATAAAAACTAAAAAATTGTAGGTAAAGTTTCATATAAATTTTTTTACACAAAAATCAATGTCAAGCTTTCTACATAACCTGATATATATATTTAAAAATAATCTCAAATTATGAAGAAAAGTCAGTTTACTAATAATGTTTATAGATGGTTTTCAACGTATTAAAAACCAAACAAATATCACACTAACTAAAATATTAATTTATTAATAGTTGTAGTACTTGAAAACAGTATGATGTTGATGATAATAATAACTACACTTAATACAAACTCAAATAATAAAAAAACAAAGTTTTGATCCGAACTTACATATGATAAAATTATTGGAAAAAGTGAACACCCATTTTAAATCACCCCAACCCGCACTGCCTATAATAAATGTTTACTTCATTTTTATTAACAGTTATTTTACCATTTGTTCATGTTTTTTGCATAACAAGGTTCCATTAACAAAAATAATATCTAGTAAGTACCTACCTACCTACCTTCATATCTAATAATTAGAGTTGCTACTTCAGCACGCTACCTAATACTTAATTAGCTAATTTATTGACAAGTCTAAGTGACTACTGATAAAATAAAATAAGGATAATAATTGTATGGTATAGAGCAAATCTGTTATTTAAGGGTTTCGGTAATGAGCGGCCATGCTTTCCACGGTTCATGAGTTATTAGTGTAATTACCCATTTCAATATCGATGATTGGCTGTAAGTCGTTATTGGTCTACTGGGTATTAGAAATATTCGAAATTACTCCCTATAGGACAATTTTAATAATTACTCAACCGATTAATAATAATAAAAATATTATTTATAAGTAAAATTGATGGATAAACTGAATCAATTAAAATAAAATATGTAGGCCAAAAAAATAATATGCCTCAGAGAATAATAGACGCGATATTAATCGTATGCCAATTATTTTTTCATAAATGCTGTTATTTGTCATAATTTATCAAAATTAAAATTATATTATCTCAATTATTTTTTATATATAGGAATAAGCAGGTAAATTAAAGATATCGAAGCTTACCTCTAATACACAGTTCGTTTTACAAAACTTTTATTTTGCTAAAATAGAAGGCTTTCTAGCATAGGGCTCTAGAGGCACTGCCACTACTAGAGCAGCATTTCGGCCAGAGGTTCGGGCAGCAGTCTTCTTTTGTCTCCCTCTCTATTTAAATCAAGCTTTATATGAGGTTCATTATTATTTTTGAGATTACAAATTAGACTATCTACATCTAACACACGTCTAGGCATTTTTAAAATTTCCACTAAATTTACATAATACATACAATGTAAATACTTGCAAAGAATCAATTCAACTGCAATATTTTTAACAAATTTAGTATCTACCCTAATGTTATTTTAATTTAAATTTGACCATTAGAGCAACTTTACCTAATTTCTTGGGAAGCGGCTTATCGAAACTGGTTGTCAATGACTAATTTACATAATTTTGTTAATCCGAAACCCGCGTAAGTATAGCGAACAGACTATTGTGCTTGTGGAACAAATAAGAAATAGTTCTTTGCTACTATGATATTTGCAGGCAATGATACAAATAAATTCTCCAATATTCAAAAATCCAAAACTCCAAAGTGGTAGTGCTAACTCTACGGAGGTGGTAATGCTAACTCCACAGACGCGCTCTTGGTACCTGATGCTATTTTTTTACTCTATAACCTTAAAAACAAACTACGGCAGTGTAGAAGGGCCACAGTTTCTAATTTTATTTTATATCTGCAATTCACTCTTGGAACACGTAATTCCTTGTTTAAACACCAAACTTTCTTGTTCAAACACGAAATTTCGTTTTTGAATACGGAATTATGTATTCTTACTCGGAATTCCGTGTTTGAACAAAAACTTTCCATGTTTGAACAAGGAATTTCCATCTTGAACACAGATCTGTAGTTTATAATGACATATTTACAGGTTGCTCTTAGGAGATTTGGGTAATTCTGGGAGGAGAACGTAAACGGATCCTCTTAAAATCCTCATATTTTGGTTCCAAATATTCTACTTGAACAATTTTATCCTTAACTAACTTTTAAGGCACTCTTGGAGGCCGGGGGAGTGAGGATAAAAAAATTTTTGACACTAAAACGTTCAACCTTTGATTCCCATACAAGAAGGACATATTTCTTTTTCATTTCCATTCAGAAGTGGATTTTATTTTTTAGATGCGCATATTTTGATATAAGTATATTTTTTTATGACATCATCAGTTTTTTAAATAGCACCACCATTTTTTGATAGTACTATTTAAAAGGGGCACAATCAAAAAAAATATTTATCGGTTCCTCATTTCCTCACTTTTTTCTTGATATATTAACAAACTAACTACTTGAAACCATTTAGAAAACACCCCTTCACTTTACCCTTTTTTCATCGGGTGAGCTAGTAAGGGAAGGAGGTAAAATTTAAAACGCTATACAGGTCATAATTTTAATCCAATACAAATAAAATTCGGGCATGAGGGACAGACCCTAAGAACTAAGAGTTACCTGGAAAAGAAATTAAAGGAAAAATAATATGCCTGAACTGAACTTTTGGTACTACTTACGACACCACCCCCTTTTAAAAGTCGGCAAAAGTGAAGATCTGAGGATATTCAGACGAACCGAATGTATCTACCCAACTCCAAGATACCCAAGTTCTCCAAGAGTAACCTGTAAATACGATATTAAAATTTATATGTTGAAAATAGAATTCCGTATTCGAACATGAAATTTCGTGTTTAAATACGGAATTTCAGATTTAAAAATAAACAAAAATTGAGGCCCTTCTACGCTGCTATAAAAAAAACAGTTCGTACATTTTAAAACCGTATAAATTTAAAGTTAGATTCAAATTTACAGCTTAAGGCGTTTTCGAAAATTTAATCGTATCAAAAAGATTATTAATCCTATCCGAGTTCGGAAACTAGTAGATTACTGATCCAGCTTTGTGAAAGTGATGCCGCGAGACGAGAAATTCTCGTCTCTTGTCTCGTCTTGTCTCGTCTCGTACGAGACGAGACAAACATTTCCTCTCGAAAAAGATTCGAGACGAGACGAGAGAATGTCATTTCTCGACGAGAATTTCTCGTTTCTCTCGAGCTCTCTCGAGTTCTCTCGTGCAATTAACTTTTTACTTCTTTTAAATTTTCAATTACTTATCGTAACTTAAAATTTAAAAAATATCAGATTTCCAGATAGTCAAAAAGTTCATTATAACACACCTATTCTATATACACAGTGAGTTTTAAGTATGGAACGCCTCAATTATCTCGGAAACGGCTTGCACGATTTTTATTTATGGTAACCCTGACAAATGCACTTTTTGACGAAGGCGCCACCCGAAAACTAACTAACGGACAGAATCGTAATAATTTCCATGCAGTCAAAATTTTCGGAAGTTACTTTTGGGGATAAATTTTTAAGTGTTTTTTCGAAAAACTGTCAAAGACAAAGTAAAAGAAACGAACGTATAGTATATTGTTAACATGCTTCAAAATGCTTTTATTTGATATCACACGAAAAAAATTCTAACTTATAAATGAAACCCTACCTCCTCCTAACTGACTTCTAAGACAAAGTATTTATAGCATAGGCAGAAGTTGGATAGGCTTTTGCTAGTTCTTTCACTTCATACACATAACTGGACAGGTTTGCGGCTGATCTAACCGAAGTGGACGCGATACATTGGCGTACAAAATTATTTTTTAGATGTTTATAACAATTCGAATAAATGGTTTAATAAATTATGAATAGCTGTTGAAATTTTGTAGAATTATGATTTGGGTATTATAATACAAGTTTGATAATTATTTATAGTCCATAAATACATGCGATTGTCCAGTTCTTATTCTATGAAACGACACTGGCAGGTAAACATTACTGCAAAATTCTGGAAGTCGTCAGACGTGGTTTGACGTTTACCCCCTCTCTACCTACCAAAAGCCTTTCCAACTTCTGCCTCTGTTATACATTCTTAGTTAACGCCCCATTTGGGCCACTGATCACTTTAAATTTGAATTGTTTATGTCAAATAGTGTCTAATTAAAGCGATTGTGACAGACGGACAGACAGAGAGATGCCAAGGTAATTTCCCTAAGTGTTTTTTATTGTCAATTTAAGTACTGATGAGACAAATTACTTGAAAAATTATTTGTTATTGTCTTTAAAATTTTACAGTTTTTTTATGTTTCGTCCTAAGTATATCTTTTCCAAATTTAAATTTGCTTGTTTTTATCACGAGAGAAACGAGACGAGAGAATGGCTCTCTCGAGCGAGAGAAGCGCCTTCTCGTCGAGACGAGAGAACAGTTTTCTCTCGCCTACGAGACGAGACGAGACGAGAGAAGCCTCTTTCTCGTCTCGTCTCGCGGCATCACTATTTGTGATCGAGATCAATATTTTGTAACCCACTCTACAAGTAGATTAGTAATAGATCCGCAAGCGCACTCAGGGCCGACTAGAGGGGAGGGGGGGTAGCCGGGACTAATTCCCGGGGCCCGGACTCAAATGGGAGCCCGGCGGCGGTATAAAGGGGGCCCGACAACTGATTTTTTTTGTTTTGTATGAGAAATTCGACACAAGACGAGAGAGGGAAGTTTTTGTTTGAAGAGCTGTTTTTTGTCACAGGGCCCGATCTAGAAAATTGTCCTGGGGCCCGGCCTGGCTCTCGGCGGCCCAGAGCGCACCTCAGGATTTTATAAAGATATAACGCAATTTTTGGTGTTTGGTGTCTGCCAATAGTATCTTTGAAGTTTTTTCTACATTCAATTAGTTATAACTTGTAATCTTTATGTGCATAATGCGACTTTATTAGTCAGACCACAAATAAGTTTAATTTAAATGGTTCTTTAACAAATAATAGGGAAAAGTCAAAGATTGACAGACGTAGATAAACAGGAACACTAATTCAACTCGTTTTATGCCAAGATAATATTACAGTGTGTTGCGTTATCCCCCTTATCTACGCCCTTGACGTGATCCATCGGGTAAACCCAGTAATCTGAATTTGTTATCTGTAGTATGTTTCCGAAAACACCTTCAGATAATGATACATTTATAAAAATTGTTCAATTTACAATTTCAACACTCTGTATATAATAAAACTCATCATGAACGTGGACGTTTAGTTTAGAAGATCAAATGGTACAAATAAAGCATTTTAAAAGATTTACAGAATACTATTTTTTTCTATAAAGGAAAGTCTCTCAACACGTAGGTCATTAAGCCATGCAAATTTCGGGTTTCTGTTCTGTGGTACTATATGGGTCACCAATTATAAGTTGAATATTGTTATTTTATATTGATGTATATAAATGTTTTAAATAGGTGAATAAATGTTTTAAATTAAAAATTTCTTTAATGATTCATGAATACAATCAAATTATGTATCACATGTGATACACATGGGATCCAAGGTGTTAAAGTATGCAGAAAATAAGCGTAGTTTTTGAATTACAACTTTTGTAATTCAATTATAAATAAATAATAATAAATAAATAAATTCTTTATTGCCCAACAGATATAACATCCAAAGATAGGACAAAATATAACAATAGACTTTTAAGAGTAAATATTAATAAGTACTAAAATAAATAATAATAACAAAATAAATATATATATATATATATATATATATATATATATATATATATATATATATATATATATATATATATATATATATATATATATATATATATATATAAAAGCTAAAAAAAAGTGAAAATAAAAATTATAAATTAAATTGACCCTGCGCAAAACATGTTCAATTCAAGTTTTTCAAAGAAAAAAAATGTATATTACAATTCAGAAATAAGTACTAAGATGGTAATAAATAATAATAACAAAATGAATATAAAGCTTAAAGCAAAAATTAAAATTAAAAATTGAGGGTGACTATGCGCAAAACATGTGCAAGTTTTTCAAAAAATATATCACAATTCAAACATAAAATATTAAAATTTTGGCACATAATATATATTGGTGATTTCATTAGCAGGTTAGTCCTGGGAATAGGAAGAGAAAACGTGTTGAATGTCCGTGCATTTTGTCGTGTTACTAAAAAGTAAAGTCCTTCTAGTAGAATAGAACAATCAATTATATTATGAATTATTTTATAAATTGTAGAAATTGACATTAATTTTGTATATTATATCCATTACGCAACACATTTTCATCAAATCCGTGGGGGGGGATAGATACCCCTAACCTTGTAATTTAAAAACTTTAAAAATTTGCGTTGCACCCTTTCAATGCTGTTCTTCTGCAACTCTGTCTTCGGATACCAAATCAAAGAAGCATATTCCAACTTGGAACGAACTAATGAAAAGTTGGAAATATTGGAAATATAAACGATTATTAGGATTCAGACTTTGTTTCTATTTAATAAAATTAATGATTTATCCTTCTAAAGTTAGGTTCACAAAATCGTGCCCCCCTGGAAAAGAATTCTGGTGACGCCCATGGTTCTTCGTCTCCATTTAAGAGTACACAAATTCAATTATTTGATAAAGAAATATTTTAGAAAAAAATCGTAGAAACAATATCTCAAACAATCCAAATACAACATGTTCCTCATCTCAACTGAGGTACCTTCTTATATAACTCAGATCACTAGCAAAACAAACAAACGGCACACAATAAATCTACTACTATCTCCCCATTATGTCAAGATCTCTCCTTCTGTAGCTACACAACGAAACAAAATCCATTTCAAGTACCATTTGTGTCTCTATTCCGACGTAATGATTCTTTACGATACCTATCGACGCCCCGTTAGGCGGAGTATCGTGGCTCCGCCCGCTGATAAATTTCCCCTAGGTTTTGGAGGCGGGGTCGAAATGAATAAGGTGCTGAGACCAATGACTATGAGAATCGGAAAACAAGAGAATGGGTTAGAATTTAGGTAGAGATTGCTGTTATTTTCGTGGATTATGAGCAGGTATAGTCAGAACAGAATTTGATTAGAATCGGCAGAGGTGAATATATCTTAATAAATAGAAAATATTTTTATTAACATTTTATATAATTTTTAATAGTTATTTTAGGTAAATGCCTATACTAATCATTGAATAGAGTGGCAATGAGATGTCTTATACACCGAAAATGTGCTACATGTGCATTGACAGAGTAAAATTATTGTATCTATTGCTATTTCCTTAATATTATTTTTTTTAATGTCTATAGCTTTATTGCTTACATTTTTGAAGTTCTATAGTAATATATTAAATAAACTACCTATATTTTAGCGAATTAATTCTATATAGACATAACAGAAACGATCGTTTCTGATAATGGGTCCTATGATTGAACGTTTATGTTATCCGTAACGTACATGTTAGGCCGAGTTTTAACAGTAATAAGGCGAGTTCGTATGATGGAAAACTGTTAAATTAGAACATAACAGGCGGAAAATACCAGTAATGTGTTGAAAAAAATTTTTCATCATACGAATTTGCCTCATTTCTGTTAAAACTCGGCCTAACATGTATGTTACGGATAACGTAAACGTTCAATCATAGCACCCATTATGTGAATAACGTGTTTCGTAATTATGAATTTCGGACTGCTTCAGCAAAACTGTGAATTTCAATCAGTTGTGATGTAAATATAAAGTAGTTAGTGGCATAAAATATTGTAACGTTTTTTTAAGCAGTTTATTAATTTTGGCGAAGGTTTCCTAAGCTTTCGCCAAATTATTCGACTATATTACATAATAACATAGTCCTTATCGTGGAACCTTCGCCAAAAGTTGTAATTTTTTATTATTCACAAATATACTGTATTCTAGACTATATTGATCGACGTTGGCCATAGTCGTGCCATTTATCATAGTCGTAACATTAGGTGGGGTTTTGGCGGTTGACTTATTTCATCAAGTTGTAAATTACCTAACGAGCGACAAAAAAATATAGGTAGAACTCAATTGTTTTGTGAAGAGCACACTTCGTCATAATGTGCAGAAACCAATTTGAGTTTGTAGGCGTGGTCAGACAGATTTAAACGTGATCGAAGCCGCCTGCCGCTCATCACCGCTCATACAAGTTGAATTCAGTAGCGTAGTGTTACTTATTTGTACTTGTTGCATTTATTTAGCTATTTTGAGTTTCTTGAGTTTTGTGCTTCGATTTTTGAGTTTCCTGAGTTTTATGCTTCGATTTGTGTGTACATAAACTTTAATTTGTTATATTTTTTGAATTCCTAATTAATTTTGTGTATATTTTGGTAAGTACATTTACAAAACTGTAAATATTAATCTCAGAAGAAACCGAACATCCTGAAATATTTTAAATACCTTTTAAATCCAGATATTTTTGTAAACCATATTTTTCTCTTAAGCTCTTAAGAGCTATTGCTGCGGTAATGGAATAAAATTCGTAGGTTTTATATATTTTATCACCAAGTTCTTAATATTATGATATTTTTTTTTGCTATATAGTAACTTAAATTACAGTTCTGTAGTATGAAATCAACAAAAAAGTATTACCAAAACGCAGAAAAAAAAATTAAAAAAAGTCTGAGTATGATCACCATTTTAAGGATTCGGTGAACATATTATTATTTCTTGATGAAAAAACTGAAACTAAAATTAGACACTCAGATAAAACAAAAACAAAATATTTTTTCAATACAAATTGTAAAGGAAAGATTTCTCTAGAGAATTCTTAAAAGAAAATTCTAATCGATTAAAAAATAAAAGCAGAATCCTTAAAACAGTGATCTTACTCTAAAAATTATTTATTTTTTTCTGCGTTGTGGTAATACTTTTTTATTAATTTCATACTACAAAACTGTAGTTTAAGTTACTATATAGCAACAAAAAAAATATCACGTAAATACCCTAAATATTAAGAACTTGGTGATAAAATATATAAAACCTACGTATTTAATATAAATATTATTTTAGGAATATTATAAAAAATGAAGGATTGTTGTTTTAAATTCCGGGGCAGCATCTCATCACTTGGGAAAATATTATTAAACATGGGTTTTAAGTAAGTATAAATAACGTTATCTAAAAAAATCAAAACAAAATGATACCAAAATAATTAATTTCTCATAGTCAATTTTTGTACGTACAAAATTACAATGTTTATTTTTTCAGGTGAAAAAAAAAATAAAGACAACAGATCTGTTCTGTTGGAATCCTACGATGTTAGGAATAAGAGGACAAATTATTTAAAATCCTTAATACATTATCGGCAAGAGGGCAGAACTATTTATTATTGTGATGAGACCTATTTAGAACTATTATTTTTCTAACTTTATCTTCTGAACGTACAGTTTACCTATTACTTATCCTGTATATTTATCTCCTTTCATTTGGCACTTTGTTGTGTCATGTTAAAAAAACTGAAAATCGAATATTTTTGAATTTTTTTGTAGTTAAAATTCACTATTATGACTTATAACATATTTTTAAACATATATGTGTAACCAAAAATAAAAAAATAAAACAGATACCTGCAGAATTATTGCGTTATTTTATATGTCATATATGAAAGTAATGACTTTCAACTTTTTACACTAAAACGTTATCAAAATTATCACATATTACATACACATATCTGTTGGACAACGAACGTACTTCCTTCTACCACTTTTTTTCCCTTTCGTCCTTAATGTGCACCTACAACATTGGACGCCCCTTTAAGCTCGACAATTTCTTATTCAAGCCTTCCAGTATACGCGTTGTAACGATAAATCACTTTGATTTTTTCAACCCTGTCATTTCCATAATTCCCTCATCACCGCAAAATGTCACCCGACGATGCACCTCAATATTACCCTATGTCGTGCCCCGAATAATTGAGCCAAATACTCTCCTTGAAAGATTTACTCATGAATATGCAACCAGACCAGAAGCGTAGCAAAGTTTCTTGCAGAAAATGTGTCCTATCTTCAAGGATAACATTATCACACGTTTGAATGAGTTTGGTTGTTCAGTAACACATAGAATACTTACATTTTGTTTCTGTAAAATTAAATTTAGATCAAAGCATTTATTGGCAAAACCTGTATATTGATATGCATTAAAGTAATATTTAACTGTTGGGAACTGCAAAATAGTAATCCATTATTTTCTTTCAAAAAGTAGTTTTTCATAGTAGCCCTTCCCAGTAAACACCATACGCTTCATGTACGTACTTTTTACGTCATGTAGGCTGAGTTACGTACATGGCTCTAAAATGTACGTCTTAAAGATGTATATTTCTGTACGTATTCTGTACGTTTTGGAAATACATACTATGTACGTACATTTTATGGCATGTTGGTATGTAAAGAATAAACTGGTATTTTTAAGAGTTTCAAGTAGTAAAACAAAAAAACAATCTAAAAAATTGTGTCCCATTATAGGCATTTTAGCGGTAATTAAAAATTCATCAAAACATCTGTGATTAAATAGCATCGATAAAAAGATAATTTTTTTTATACCTATTGAATGCGCTGTGACAATTTTTGTCCTTTATAACATTATTTTTAATAAATAATATAAAATGCACTTCTCACAAACTGAAAATTATCTTGAAATTACGAACAAACCGTTTGCCATATTCAAGGCCAGAAAATAATATTATTAAGAAGAATTACGGCTAAAAAAAAAAAGAAGAAAGATCATAACCAAACATTTTGTGTTTTCCTCTAAAATGTACTGTATTTTGTCTCTATTGTTTTTGCGAAAAATATGTAGTGTTAAAGTGAGTGAATATGATTGTGGATGGGGTTTCCATTTCTTCAGGTTATTTCCCGCTTTTTGTTGGTATATAAAAGTTACATTTTCACCAAATTCTATTTTTCAAATTTAGTCATAATTTATTAAAATATGTCAATTAACTGCTTAAAATTATTTTTAGGTGAATATATTAAAGATGCTCCGACAGCAATATAATAATAATAATACTCTCCCTAATTCACCCCCTTACGAGTGAATTTCAACCCCTGAAGTCGACTGAACGACTTGTGTAGGGGAAGGGACGGCTATTATTATTATTTGCCGTGGCGCTCCGGGGCGACTTAAAGATGATTGATGGTGCCATTTGACTTACAGGTGAGGAAAACCCGGAAAGCCTCACCCACCATCATGAATATCTAATTAAAAATATGGTAACAGATTTGTCATTTGAAATAAGATCTTTTAAAAAACCAACTTTACAAGAAAATATTAGTCCAGACGATAGTTTATTTAAGAAACTAGCACTACCTTGTGAAAGCCCTGCTGGATTAACAGAATTGAACAAACATTTGGAAAATGAGGAAAACTTCAAAATTGCTGTAAGTTTTGTCATAGTATATTAATTTTATATTTAGTAATATAGAGTTTTAATTGCATAAGTGCATCAGAATAATTATATTTAATTTTGCAACCCATCCTTTACTAAAAAACTTACATTTTTATTCACAAATGTAATTTAATGTAATATATATTTCTAGAGTTAATTAAATTCAACTTTACTTTTCAAAATAACTGTTGCCTTAGAATTTCTTTTATCAACAAAGTTATAATTTTTCTTAAAGAGATATTATCATGAGGAACAATACTCTAATTTTATATTTTAACACTTTTTATGTTTATGTTTATAGGTCACTGAAATTTTCCAAATAGGTGGAAAAGACAGCTATGATTTTGTTAGAAGGGCGATGAGTCGAATAATAACAAATGGATTAGCTGCACAATATAGTTGTTTAGGGAGAAGAAACAAGTGCAGCTTTTATACCTCAAAAGTAGACAAACTAGTAATTGGTGAGTATTTTTAACTTATTCAAATTTTATACCATATATTAATACAAAAGTCTGCAGCTGTTCTAGAAAAATGATTCTTATATAGTTTATATGATTTTTATAATATTTATTTGCTCAGATTATTTTACCTTTTCTTTACTATTCGATGTTTTGGAATAATTAATTACTATTTAATAAATTTTAGAGGCAGCCCTTCGACTCGAGAAGGGCGATCAGAAAACAATTGAATCTAATATTTCGGCATGGCTGCGAAGATCGACAGAGCGTCTAAAATTTATACAAAAGAGAGGTACTGATGACAATTGATGTAGGTTTTTATTTTACATTTACATTTTTAAAATTTAAAGTTTTTTTAGTTTTGTAAAAAAATATTTATTGATAAAGGTCTAAATATTATTGCTTCTATTTTTCCAAATTTGATTGAGTACTGTTATCAATAATCAAATTTTGAAAAAACTGGCCAGGTAGCAGCACATAATAATTAACCTTATCAAACATAACTATTTTTTCTTTAATTTTAATTTTTTTTGAATGTTTTATTTTTGAATTTATTTGTTTTTTCAAAGAATAAATTCTCTTTTGGTATATATGCATTTTTTTATTACTCCTAATAACAAATAAACCTATTTAGTATAAATTTAAAAAATAATCTGTAGCTTTTTAGGATATCCAATATACGAGTTTGATGGATTTTTGGTAGATAATATTCGCTTCACCTAAACACAATTTTATTTTCCAAATCCATTGAAATGGGGAAGATCAGAACATGCCAAAATTTAAATTAACATTATGGCACACATTCTCATATTCAGCATTTTGATGAATTTTAAAAATGGTGTTTAGATAGCGTATATTATCAGCAGTTCATCAACTGCTATATTGGACATCCAAAAATGGTACTAAATTTAAATTTAAATACGTCTATGTACGTACATATAACGAAACGAAAATGTGAACTGTACGTCGTAAATACATATTTAAAACATACAGTTATTTTGGTAATTAGATGACTTAAAACGTATGTATTAGTACGTACTTTAGTGTACCCATATGACCACCTATGTACGTACACAAGACGTAATCAGACAAAAATGTACATACATAAGACATGCTTTACGTCGAGATGCTACGTTTTTAAAACGTACATAAAATGTAAATGTGTTTACTGGGTTGAGGTCCCTATTTTATCAGGTTTGAAGTAGAGGCTAGGTTTGAAAAATTTTCTTCACTCTTATGCGATCTTTGGTTTTGTGAATCTTCAAGAAATCGCTGACCTTGTCTAAAGTTGAATCGGGAATATCATTGCACTACTTATTAAAATAGTCAGTCACATAATAAATTGATATTGTGTTTAAATTAGCACAATTCTTGAACTTATACCCACCCACCTACCCTGAAGGCCGACCCTGGCATATGCAAATGGCGGCGAAATAAGCTTATCGGCTCGCTAGTTGCCTACCTTACCGGCAGAGGCACGCACACGATATTAACCCCGATTTATATTATTATGCAAATGTTCGCTTATCTGGTATTTATTCAAATTCTGGAATAATGGTACTGCATCGGCTTCACGTGGTGTTATGATATATTGTGCAGCCATATTGGATTTCTGGATGCGATAAGGAAAATTACGAGGACGACGGATTTTCCATTTTCTGGCAGGTTATGAAGGATCGTGTGACGCTAGCTGATATTACCTACAAGGTATACGCCTTTGCGTCAATGCCATGTTGCTGCAGTTTAAAAAAAATGTATACCTACCGCACAATATTTTATTTCTAATGACGGTATAATTCAAAAGTCTGTTAACTGCGTGCATTCAATAAGGCTTTAAATCAAATAGTAATGTCTTCAAAACAGGCAGGTTTATACAGGGTTCTGTAACAATGGGGCAGTCTTTCACAACCTAGTGAGATCGCTCCACCGGTTGCAACATCATGTATAGTTGTAGACAATATAGATAGGAAATAATAATGATGAATTTCATACGATTTTTACGGTACTATATTTTAAGTCATCGTCATTTATGTCCCAAATAAACAAATCAACGAACCAATTTACAATCTCTTTGGTAACCAATTCGAAACATCATCAAGATAAAGAAGGATCGAAGAGATAGAATCAGTTGCGGAAAGGCGATGCCTCCACAGAATAAAAAGGACAGAGAAAGAGAATAAAATCAATGAGACCAGTCAGACTAATAGAGTTAGCGGTTTAAAAATGTCCAAGTTCTTGTTCGAGGGTGTCACATCTTCTTTTCCGAAGATATTTCTCGATAAAAAAACAGTTTGGAACATTTACCCTAATCATTGTCCTCACTGTACGATCTGCGTAAATCACTGTGCCTATCAGGTACCACTCCGCAGCCAGTTTCACACGATTAAAATCAGTTATTTTAGATATAACTAAGAACTTCTAATCAACTTGTTTAAAAGTAAAGACATTTTCTCAATTTTTAGCTTAGAAGCACATATTTAACCTTTACCTACATACTTTTCTTTTACCTAAAATTAAAAAATAAACTTTAAAAGTAAATATTCTTAAAATAAAGTTTGTAATAATTAATTTTAAAATAGTTAAATTTGAATTTGTCTATATAAGGTATGTATATGAGAATGAACAAATTATGTGAAGGTATAAGAAAATTAATTAACATTTTGTTGATTAAAATAAATGTAATATTTTTGAGTTTTTGATATCTGGTAGGTATATTATATTTTAATTAGTTGGCAATCTTGCAAACCATAAGGTCATCTACTTTATTGAACTCTTAAACGATTTTTTTACGTATAGAGGTACAAAGTAAAAAACTTGAACTAAAATGACGAATGCTATCTCTCTTATACTACAAAACTTTCTCACAACTGTCAACAAGGACTAGAGAACTGTAATAAGTTGTAAAATAAATATTGCAATCCTTATAAATAAAACGTATATTGACAACTCTATTTTATATAACATGACATTGATCCCCCTCACAGTTAAGTAGGTACTGCTAGTAGGAAATAAGCTTATGCTTTATTTTATCTGGAACCAACTATTCAGGTATACCTATAACATAAAAAAATTAAAAATATATAGGGCGCTTCATTAAAAAATTATTTATTGAAATATTACTCATACTTTGTTTTGATATTAAAAAACAATCGGAAACAAGATATATCGTTATTTTGATTTTTTTAATATATTTTTCTCTAAAAGAATGATGAAATTTAACTTTACCCAGTGTAATCCGATCTTTTGACCGGTAGATAAGTGGGGTGCTACAAGTAGTCGGACGGTGGCTCTCAAACCAACAATCCCGCGCTAAATTGACTCTTACATCCTTTACATTTACAGCCCAAAGTGGCGTCCTTACGCCACGCCGCTCCGATAAAATCCAGTGCGTAAATCACTGTCACCTGTATCGACAGTGTAGCGCATTTATCCGTGGTAAAAGTCAAATTCAATGGCTAGCATAATTATAAATTAACTCAAAACTGGCCACTAATTTCCTGTCAAAATAACACCTCTATCGGAGGCAATTAATTCCCAAGGATTTTAGTGGTTCTTCCTCGGGTGATGCTGAAAGGTAAGAAGAGTTTGACTAAGAAACTGATTAAATTAAGTATTTTTAGAAGAAAAATGATCTAATTCGGTTTATTGAGTAACATAACCTAATAAGTAAAGTAGCTACAATCGGGGTTAAGAAATAAATCTGACTGTGAGACTGTACTACAATGCGTAACTTGATGATTGGAAAGGAGACGCAGAAAAATAAATAAAATTGTTATAGCTGTATTTTTGGATAGTTGGTTGATGCAGGCTTATTTAGCAAACTTTTAATATAAACTACATCAAAATAAATTTAAAGCAATGCGTCACAATATTATGAATGACCGTTTCTCTTTTGACAACAACTGCAGTCTGTTCGCTATACTTACGCGGGTTTCGGATTAACAAAAGTATGCAAATTAGTCATTGACAACCAGTTCCAATAAGCCTCTTCCCAAGAAATTAGGTAAAATTGCCCTATTGGTCAGATTTAAATTAAAATAACATTAGGGTAGGTGCTAAATTTGTTACAAATATTACAGTTGAATTGATTCTTTGCAAGTGTTGACATTGTATGTATATTGTAAATTTAGTAAAAATTTTAAAAATGCCTAGACGTGTGTTAGATGTCTAATTTATAGTATACATAAGTATTTTACGGATGAAAAAGAAAATGGCGGTCCTTTAAAATCGGTAATGTCTGTACAACAACGCGTATGCGATGCTCTAGGAATTAGTGAAACCAAATTAAGAGGAGTATTACAAAATCACAATAGTGAACTGCCGAAAGAAGATCACCGCAAAACTCGCCCATAATTGAAAACGAAAGATATTCCAAATGGAAAGAAATTTGAAATTAGTGATACCATTTATCGAATGAGGGCCAACAAGGAACACGTGACCTTAAATACAATTCTCTCGGAATTAATAGATAGAAAATTTGACGACATTGGCAGAATAAGTCTATGGCAAGTGATACATAACTTGGGTTTCAAATTTCAAAAGGAGGATAACAGAAAGGCCCTTTGTGAAAGAAGTTCTGTCGTGCACTTTTTAAGAAAATGTTCTAAATTTAAAGAAAAGGGGGCGAATTTTATATATTTAGACGAAACATGGATATTTTCTAGGGGTGCAACCAAGAGAATATGGCAAGATGATAACGTAAAGTCCATCAAACATACCGATGGAGAAGGGAAGCGACACATAATTTTACATGCAGGAGGGAAATCGGGTTTTATAGAAGGTGCTGATTTAATATTTTTATCTAAATCAAAATCCAGTGACTATCACGATAATATGAACACAGAAATGTTTGTAAAATGGTTGCATAAGAAACTTCTCCCAGGTTTAAGTGAGCCCAGCGTAATTATTTTAGACAACGCACCTTACCATTCTGAAGTATTAAACAAAAGTCCAACGAATTCTTGGACTGTCAATAAAATTAAAGGATGGTTGACAAAGTAGCATATTATACCATTTCCTCAATATATATTAAAATCAGAATTATTACGCTTGACAAATATACACGCAAAACCAAAAACCTTTGTTGTGGATCAGATTATTGAAAGTTACGGTCATCAAGTTTTACGTCTGCCACCGTATGATTGCCAGTTTAATCCCATCGAATATATATGGGGAATAGCAAAACAATATTATAACAACCATATTGGGCCTAATGGTTATAGTGACGACGCAGTTCGGGAAACTTGGCGAAAAGCACTTTCAATTGCAACTCCAGAAGTGTGGCAGAACTGTATATCCAAGTGCGAGAAACTAATAGAAGATTGGTGGACTCGTAAAAATAAAATAAACGAAATAAGTCCAATCATATTAACAATAATTAATGGTGATGACAATGATGATAATGACGATTATGATATTTTGGATGATAATGACTGATTTTCATTTTTGTTGGCTAGTTCAATTTTTTTATTTTTCATTTGAAATTCTCTACATGGAACA